CAGGTGAAAATTTACCTGCACACAGTCACTACATAGATTTAAGTACATCTCAAGCAGGTTGGCATAAGCATAGATATTGGGATTGGTCAGCAATGATAAAAGGTAAAGGATATGATGTTAAAGACAACGTTAAGTTTGCTATAAATTGTTACTGGAGTAACACTGAGGGAGGAGGAAACCATACACATCGCGTTTCAGGATATACGCAAACAACGGGACAAAGTAAAGACTACATGCCACCTTACATGACTGTATTCGCATGGTATAGAGTTCAATGAATGTGCTTGACCCAAAGGTCTGGGCTTACCGAATGAACTAAATATATTTTATGTTTGTAATTAATTAGGTAATGAAGTAATGGATGAACTGCAGAAATATATTTTATCGTCAATGGTTTTGGGTTATTCAATAATTGTTTATTGAGTTTTGGATGAAAGAATACGGTCGAGCCAAAAGTGGCTCAACCTCAAAACGAGCATTTTATGAGCTTATTAATGGTGTTATGAATGAATTCAGTCCAAAAATAATTAATTTCATTAGTTTTAAAATTATTTTTATTTTTTATTTTGTATGTAAAGACAATAATGTCAGTCGAAGCAAAAACATTCACGAACAAATCTAATGGTGAAACATTCACAAAAGGCACTTATAACGGTATTGAAGTCTTACGTAGAGACAAGGATGGTTACATTAATGCAACAAATATGTGTCAGCAGTTTAGGAAAGACTTTAGAAAGTTGTTGGAAAATAAGTCCTGGGAAGAGTATTATAAGGCATTTTGTGAAGAATATAGCAACCGCCGGAATTCAGACGGTTGCTTTTTATACAAAATTCATGCCGGAATTCCTGATGAAATCAAACAGGTTAGAGGAACGTATGTAGACCCAAGACTTATAAACTATATAGCAATGTGGGCTTCTCCAAAATATTGCATAGCAGTTGGAAAAATTATGGACTCCATAGACAAGAAAGTTCATGAGAAATTAGATGAAGAAGAACTTGAAGATACAGTAGAGAATGCTAAACATTTGTTTGAAGAAGAAGTTGGAAAAATGTGTGAAAAACAATTAGAACATGAACGTGAGTTATGTTATGGTTATAGAGATTCTCCATACGAACTAGACCAATGGGAACAAGAAAATTTAAAGAGAGAATTTAGAGAATATGAACTCGCTAAGATAGCATTAGAAGCTGCAGAAAAGAAGTTAAAAGCTTGGGGTTGTTTTGTACAAAAATATTGTGAGTAAATGAACCATTTATTTTTATTGAATTCAGTAAAAATAATGTTTAGGGTAGAAGGTTAGATCTAACCTCTTTTTTCACCTGTTTTCTCACCCTCATGAATTTGTCATGACTTCTTCGTAAACTAAACGTAAATGTTTTGTGAAGAATATAGCAACCGCCGGAATTCAGACGGTTGCTTTTTATACAAAATTCATGCGGGAATTCCTGAGTTTTGGTTGAAAGAATACGGTGGAGCCAAAAGTGGCTCGACCTCAAAACAAGCATTTTATGAGCTTACAAAGGGTGTTATGAATGAATTCAAAGGTATTTGCATACATCCTGACCTCGTTCATTTTGTTGCTGAATTCAGTAAAAATATAATTTATGTTAACATGTTAGATCTAACACGTTTTCTAACCTGTTTTCTCACCTCATGAATTTTCATGATTTCATCGTAATGAGTGTAAATGATTTGTCATGATTTCATCGTAAATGTTTTGTCAAGACTTCTTCATCGTAATGAGTGTAAATGATTTGTCATGATTTCATCGTAAATGATTTGTCAAACATGAACGTAAATGTTTTGTCAAGACTTCTTCGTAAATGATTTGTCAAACATGAACGTAAATGTTTTGTCATGATTTCATCGTAAATGATTTGTCAAACATGAACGTAAATGTTTTGTCAAGACTTCTTCATCGTAATGAGCGTAAATCAGACAAAAATAATGTTTAGGGTAGATGGTTAGATCTCACCTGTTTTTTCACCTGTTTTTTCACCTCTTGAATTTTCATGAATTTTCCCGAAATAAAAAATAAAGTTAGTTTTATTTTATTTATTTTTTTATTTTGTATGTAAAGACAGACATGATTTCAACAATCGGCACAACAGCAATACAAACAACAGCACCAAACTCGTTAGTCATGAATCCTACGTCAATGTTAGTAGAAATGAAAAGCTTCATTCCTTCTTCATATACTTTCGAAACAAAAATCCAGAAGATAAAGCAAGAACTTTTAACAAGTAATTTAGACTGTAGTGCGAAAGATGAAACAAATGAAGAATATCTTTATGAAATGCAGGACATTATTGACCATTTACCCAAATTGCCTGAAATCCAACAACAAAAACTCACTATTCCTGAATTTGACGAAATTGAAGTGAAACCAACTGACTCAGTAGAAATAAAGAAGTTCATACGAAAGGTAAATTATGAATTCCTTGGTTTTCATTGCAACCATAAAGTTATGGACAAAGATTGCGACATGGTATATAAGAATGTTTCTGACATATATAAATCCGAAGAATTTAAGACATACGACAACTTTGTTTCGTTAGTTGCAGAATGTGTTTGGGAAATAAGAGATAAAGATAGAAGAGGTAAGGTATGGAATGAACAAATAAAACCAGCAACTTTTGAGTTAAAGAAAACCATTGACGCCTTAGTTGTTTTAGCAGGTAAGGTTTCAGAATATAACGCAAAAATGAACCCGCAATGTTCTAAATGTAAAGCAGCAATGAGGAAATATAACTACTCCGTCAAAGAGATAGAAAGAATGAGAAACGACTATGCAGACTTAAAGAAAGAAGCAGAGAAGCCAGCAGAAGATAAAATGAACATGTTAGAATTTCTGAACAAAAACTATCCAACAGCAGAAGATTTCCTTCTATCTGACGTCAAGAAGAAGTATAAAGAAACTTTCGGTATCGTTAAAACTTTTGACATACTGACAGAAGAAATAGAAGCTACGAAATTGTTTAGAATTTCAAATATACATCGTACAATTCATGTAAAACGCTTATAAAAAAACAGGTGAAAAAACAGGTGAAAAAACAGGTGAGATCTAACCATCTACCCTAAACATTATTTTTGAAGAACTGAAGGTGCTACCATGTTACCATGTGCTACCAGGTTAACTAACTTCTCTGAAAAAATGAGACAACATGACATTTTGACAACATCATGGGTTATTCAATAATTAATTATTTTTGAAGAACTGAAGGTGCTACCATGTTACCATGTGCTACCAGGTCATTTCACTTCTCTGAAAAAATGAGACAACATGACATTTTGACAACACAGCAGGGGAAGGCAGTTATGAATTATTTTTGAAGAACTGAAGGGGTCACCGGGTCACCAGGTCACCAGGTCATTTAACTTTTCTGAAAAAATGTGACAACATGACATTTTGACAACACAGCAGGGGAAGGCAGTTATGAATTATTTTTGAAGAACTGAAGGGGTCACCGGGTCACCAGGTCACCAGGTCATTTAACTTTTCTGAAAAAATGTGACAACATGACATTTAGACAACACAGCAGGGGAAGGCAGTTATGAATTATTTTTGAAGAACTGAAGGGGTCACCAGGTCACCAGGTCACCAGGTCATTTAACTTTTCTGAAAAAATGAGACAACATGACATTTAGACAACATCACAGAAAATTTGATGCAGTCCAAAAATAAAGTTAGTTTTAAAATTATTTTTATTTTTTTATTCCTATATAAATGACAGCAACAAACAACAACAGCAACTTTATCGTTTCTGATGAAAAAGTTATTGATTCATTAGTTGCGGAATTAGTTGTGGCAGAAACTAAAACCCTCAACGAAAGAATTGGTGAAAACATGATTGATTTACATAACTACCTCAAACATGATGGAGGAAGAGGAAGGAAAACTGGTACAGCTTTATTAGTAAATAAAATTTCAAATTTAACGATTATAGATGTTGATATCAATAAATCGTACAATGATGAACTTAAAGAAACAGTTAGAAAAGACATTTTATCAAAACTTTCGGATAAAGATGTTATCGTTAAAACCGCATCAGGAGGTCTTCACATTTATTGCAACACTAATTTCTTCTATGCAGTTTCGAACAGAATGATTAAATGTTATTCCTGCAATGATTATGATATCGACATAATGACTTCAATGGATGATTCAAAGCGTTCATTAGTAGTCATGGCTGATTCAAGAGTTCGCAAGAATGCAACAGAACCAATCAATACATACTCATTCATTCGTGGAAGTTATGATTCAACATTAACTAGAACAGTGAATGATATATTAAATGATTTGAATATTAAGGTAAGAGTTGAACAGAAGAGCGAAGAAATAAAGAGTATAATGAATGAAAACAAAGATGTAAACATTGACGATAAACTAGCTCAGAGCATAGTTGATGGCATCTGTGATTTTGAAGTACATAATGATGGTGGAAACATGAATTTAGAAAAAGAAATAACATTATTCACACTGTTTCAAGCTATTAATTCGTTACCTAATCATTTGATTAATGAAGCATACGATAACGTTTATAACTTCTGCAATTTAACTGAAAATGCAAAAAGTAATTTTGAAAAAGCACGTAGTAGATATGCACATTTAATGACTTCTCCATTTGTTTTGGTGAAGATTCTAAAACTTTATCAAAAGGAATATTATGATGAATATGTTTTACCTTTATTACGTAAGCCAAAAATAACATTTGATATCAAACTTGATGACTCGTTTTTGATAACAGATATTAGACGCAAGGCTGAAAATCATCAGTATAAAAACAGTTCTGAAGTAATTGAGGATTTATCACGTGTAATTCGTTTTGTAGATTGTGGAAACAAATACTTCATTCAGAAAGATTACAACATACACGACAAAATGAATCAAATATCATTTGTTCTTCAGTCAAACATGAAAGAGTCACTCAAAATGATTAAATTATTTAAAGAAGAAGGTAAAACCATAACAGCATGGGATGTACTACTAAATCAATTGTCTTCATTAACCGTTAAGGGTGTTTGCTTTAAATCTGATTCCCCAGATGTTTTCTCAACGTTTCAGGGTTATAAATACAACGTTCTCGAAAAACCAGATTACTCAAAAATTGAGATGTTTATGAATTTCATTAAAGAAGCCATTTGTGATAATAACGATGAAGTGTATAAATACCTTCTCGGCTGGATTGCATCAATGATTCAACATCCTGGAATCAAGAATGAAACAGCAATTATTTTGAAAGGACTTCAGGGAACAGGTAAAAACAGATTCACAGACATTATTTCTGAACTTCTCGCTGGTTATTCATGTAAAAACATTACCGAAATAGGTGAGCTAACGGGTAATTTCAACTCAGTAGTTGAAAATAAAATGTTTCTTGTACTTAATGAACTCAAGAATGTAGGTGAAGATAGACTCGCAAACTTCAACGCTTTGAAATCAATTATTACGGATAATGAGATTAGAATTAATGAAAAGAATCAACCCAGAAGAACTGCTCAGAACGTTGCAAACTTCATTTTCGTAACTAATAACGTTTACCCTGTCAAAATTGAAGTTGGAGACAGAAGATACGTAGTTTTAAGGGTTAATGGTAAATTCAAGGGTCAATTTGATTACTTCAAGAATTTAATGGATTCATGCACTAAGGAATTTTATGATAACCTTTTAACATATTTTATGCAATATGACATTTCATCATTTAATGTACGAATCATACCGATGACTGAAGCCAAACAAGATTTAATCGAGTTATCATCAAATCCTTTAGATGTATGGATAAATACACATTATGATGAATTGTGTGCAGGTATGATATGTAAAAATGCTCTATTCTGCAAACCATCAGACATGAAAGACAAGAATTTCCAAATGAGCATTAAGGATAAATGTGAAAGGAAACAAAGAAAAATAGATGGTAAACAGACATGGTATTATGTTTTGAAAGAAGAAATGAAAGGATTATATAAACAAATTGAACCAAACGATAATGAGGAATCATTTACTGACGATGAAATACCTGTGAATGAAGCTTTATAAAGTATGATTTGAATTTATTTTTGCATTAATCCCGCTGTGTTGTCAAAATGTCATGTTGTCACATTTTTTCAGAAAAGTTAAATGACCTGGTGACCTGGTGACCTGGTGACCCCTTCAGTTCTTCAAAAATAATTAATTATTGAATAACCCATGATGTTGTCAAAATGTCATGTTGTCTCATTTTTTCAGAAAAGTTAAATGACCTGGTGACCTGGTGACCTGGTGACCCCTTCAGTTCTTCAAAAATAATTCATAACTGCCTTCCCCTGCTGTGTTGTCTAAATGTCATGTTGTCTCATTTTTTCAGAGAAGTGAAATGACCTGGTGACCTGGTGACCTGGTGACCCCTTCAGTTCTTCAAAAATAATTAATTATTGAATAACCCATGATGTTGTCAAAATGTCATGTTGTCACAAACTTTAGAACGGCATAATTTAAATTTTTATTTTTATCATAAATGAATACCCCACAAGCTCAAAATTTACCACGAATCATAACAAGGGAGGAAATGATAAAAATGATGCAAGAACATGTTAAAAATAACAAACCACTAAAATTGAGAAAATGCGGTTATGCAGTAATGATGGAAAGAGAGATGTTGTCAAAGAGGAATAAAAATTAAATTTGGATTGAGTTTAAAAATTCATCTTTATTAAATTCATCTCTTCCAATCAATTTATTTATTCTATTAAATTCTTTTATTTTTGCTTCACTCAGTTTAATGATTGAACGATAAGTTTCTAATTTTTCGATTATTTCTTTATCGTTTTCAACCTCACTGCATTGTGGCTTCTTTTTGTAATAGCATATTTTTGATTTAATTCTGTTTAGTTTCTTTTTATATTCATCGTCTGGACTCTTGACTGCTTTGTTGTCACTCATTTCTTACGAAATAAAAAAAATTAAATATTATTTAAATATAACGGAGTAATAAAATAAATCGGAATTTCTATTAATTTCTTGTCAACTTCAACTAATGCATTGCCGTTAATATATCTAACAAATTCAGCTATTGTGTCAAATCTTCGTCTTCTTTTTGTCATTGATTTATCAGTTTTTCCATAATCGAGATGAATCAAAACTTTATCCCCTTGTTTAAAATTCATAAGCCCCGAATTAATTTGTTCACGTTTAACATCATTCAACCTTTCCATTTGCTTTCTAATATATTCCCATTCTTTTGAAATATCATTTTTCATTTCCACTGGTTTCATGTTTATAGTTCTATGCCATGTATTATTGTAATAATATACTAACTGTTGTATGATGGAGTCATGATTTCCATCCCAGTATATCTGACCGTTAACCCCTAACGCATCTCTAAGAGTTCTCATTACCGCATCAACTATTTTATTATGAAACGTATATGGAGAGGATGAAAAGAAAAAATTAATTTGTGGGAAATAATGAGTTATAGCTGCCTGAAATCCTTTATCACCATCACCCCTGATATTATCTACTCTTTCATGATCTAGTAAGTATTGTATAGCTCTTCTTGTTTCCTGTTCTGTTTTCCCTTTCACTGGAATGCAATATAAATATCTAGTGTTAATGTTAATGGCAAATAAATAAGTAACGTTTCCTTTTGAATATTCTAAATGATCTATTTCGTATGAATATGGATATGGAGCAAATGAAGGGCGACTAAATTTTTCCTTTAACGGTTGAATTTTCGGGTCAATTGGTTTATTTAATATCTTGAAACCCTTTTTAAAATCTTTTTGTTTCTTTAATGTTTGAAATGGATATAATAAAGTGAATGATGAAGGATTAACTGAAGGAGGAGGAGGTACTGTCGTTGGAGGTTTTGGTGTTGCAAGTGGTTTAATTTTATCTGCTTTGATTTTGGATTTCATTCCTTCCTTCATTAATTCTGGATGTATTCTATTCATTTGTTTTAAATATGCTGTATATAAAGGTTTGATATACTTTCCCGCTTCGAGTTTATGTTGAAGGATGAATTCCAAAAGTTGATCTTCATTTAAAAGTCGGGCTGAATATGGTTTAACTAATGAATCATAAATTAAAGCTTGTGCATCATTTATGGTCTGAAGTACCTGGGTGTTTTGTTCCTTTGGCTTTGGTTTTTGTGGCTCAGGATTATATAATTTATATAATTCATCAATATCTTCTTCTGTTAATACTTTATTTTTGAAATCTTTCAACTGTTTAAGTTGTGATTTAGTTTTTCCCTTTGAATATTCATTATTTTTAATTTTGTCTTTAATTTCAGAAATTATTTTATTATGATATTTCAAAATTTCATTTTTATAATATGGATAATAATATTCCATATCATCACCCGTTATATTGTTATCATATTTTTGGAGATATGCTTTTAAATCATAATAATTAAGAAAATTTTGATTAAGTACTAAATCAACAATTAAAATTTTTAAATCTGTGTTATCCATTTATATAAAAATAAAATCAATGTTTTAAGGGTACCCACCTCTTTGATCAAGAATCAAAACCATCATTAACGGTTCCTTTTGTCTCTTCTGTGGTATTTTATTAAATAAATGGCATACAACATCCATTTTCACAACATACAGCCTTAGTGTGTGCTCCTGTTAATGCAGTCTTACCAATTGTTAAGCGAGTCATTGACCCATTTTTAAGTTGTAAATTAATATTCTGACCATCAAATATCAATTTATCATTTATTATATCCAAATAATTTTTGGGTGTTAATTGTTTATTTTGTCGTAAACTAACACCTTTCATTTTTTGTGCAATCTTTTTAAAATCACTTCCATCAATTGAACCATTGAATGATGTATAACACTTAGGACATAAAGCAACCATGTGATCGCCTTGTTTCTCAATTGCTAAACCCAATAACTTCTTCTCATGTGCTTTTTCTTCAGCTTTATTCTTTAATTTAGGTTTAAATTTCTCATCAAAACAGAAGAAATCAAAAGGTGCGAATTTGAAAATGTTTTTATCATAAAATTGTTTATCGGTTACAATCGCTTGAAATGCTTGAGTGTTAGGAAGATTTGGGTCGCCAGCGATTGCCCAATAAGATGAATCAGTATCACCTTCAATGAAATGAAAACGATTAACATCCATGCATTTATACATAAAATCATAAATGAAAACCAAATACCAGTATTTAGCATTATCTAAAGTGAAGAATGCCTCTTGTAAACATGTATCACATCTATAAAATCTATCTTTGAGCATCAGTTGATATGTATCTTCACCTATTTCTCTTATGTTTTTAAACTTATTTGACATACATGCAACGCGTGCCTTCTGTGCATTCATTATTTTAGTCTTTGCGTAATTTTGTGTATTCATTGCATCGTAACCATATGATCCATTAAGTGAAATCTTGCAAAATAAACTTTTTCCTTTATTTCCTTCTAATTCAGCCTTTTGTCTTTCGTTCATAAATTTGTTCGCAAATTCATTAAAACAAGTGTTTTTCGTAAATGTTAAAATTGATTGAATGTCATCAATGATAAAATGAAATCTGTCTATTAGATACCAAAGATAATAAGAAGAAAATGGTTGATATTGGTTGTGTGTTGATGCTAACTGAGTTAATTTTCTCTGTTTCTGGTCAACTGGTAATTGTTTGATTTCATGTAATTATACATAAAACTGCCAATTGTTTTTTCATCTGTGATAATATCTAAGTTTCTTATTATCGGTAAAAATTTATGTAATCATTAATGTATTTTTCATCAATGACCCTTTACTTCAGCCACGAATAAAGTATTTTTCTTCTTAATTATTCCCAGTGCTTTTGCTTTCTTTGTTGCTGTATCACAAATGATAACACCATTCAATCTTCCCGGCATATACATTTTATGGTCAGTATATTGAATGAAATCATGAGGATTAGATGAAAATGATGAAGGATATAATGAATTAAAGTCAACACCAACGAAATGAGTCATAATGTTGGTGGTGTCCTCATTTGATACAGTTTTAGTTTCTGGACTATATGAAAGTTTATTAATGTGCGTGATTCCTTTAAGATTTACTCTATGTTGAACATTTGATAGACCACCAGTAATTCCATTACGGAGAATGTGATAAGCTTCAACTGAATCTAAAGTCATTGGTAAATTATTTTTTAATGCATAATTTCTTAAATTGATTCTTAAACGTTGAACATTTCATCTTTATTTGATTTTACGACATTGCAATAACAACACATTAACTGACAATTTTCTTTGGTATGTGGTTTTTCATTATCTATTCTATCCAATGTTGGTTTATTTGCATATGTAAACGCTTTACCACACATTTTGCATTTAGATGAAAGGATTAAATCGTGATAGTATTGATAGTCATCCATTGAAACATTGTTTTTAGTATCCCTTTCTGCTTTTTCATCTTGTTTCTTATATGATTCAATTTTATATTTCCAATACTTTTTCGTTAATTCAAAACTTGATTCCACATTTTCTTCTTCTGGATATGTTTCGTTAGGATTGAAGTTCTTATATGCTAACGCGTAACGAATCATTGATGCATTCGATGATAAAGAAAGATTATGAAGCATGTCAATTTTATAAACAAATGTTTCTTCAATAATTTTATCAATTGGGTCAATCATAATTTCAACGTCTTTATTGCAATAATGAAATAAAATTATTCTAATCTATTCTTAAAGTTTTTAGCATCATTGAGATATATTTGATAATCTGAATCGGATATTGTTTCTTGTGTTAATGCTGAATAAAATGAATCTTGAGTGAATGGTTCCTTTTTATATAATTCATCTTCGTAATTCTCCCATGTGATGAATTGATAAGGGAAAAAGGATTTAACACGTGATTTTATTGTTTCCGAAATTTGACGTGAATTGGTCTAATGTTCCACCCGCTATATAATTTCTGATGTCAATAAATCTTAATTCATATGGACAGTTTGTTTTCTTTACAATGATTTGCTTAAATTGTGAAGAAGAACCCAGCATTGATTTTATCTTCCATTTTGCAGTATTTAAATCACGAAGAATTAAATTTAAATCAAACTTTCCTGAATTAAAACCAATGATATTCACTTTATTAAATTCTTCATCTAAAAGCTCTTTCATTGCTTCCTTTTGTTTCTCATTTAATGTATTCATTAATTCTTCATATTGTTCAATATTTGATTTAGCAACTAATGAACAGGTTGAAAATAAAAACTCAATCCAATCAGAAATAAAAGAATCACTCGAAGTTAAGCAAAAATTCCTCGTATATGTTTTATCGTTTAATTTAACCGTTGATGATACCATGAATGGTTTTAAGTAAGCATTCAAAGTTGCACACTCAGAAAGTTGTAATTCTTCTTTAGTCTCTAATGTTTCGAAGTCAAAAGTAATATAATATCTTGTCGGTTTATAATATTTCTGCAAATTGTGAGCTAATAACCACTGATATATCTTCTGTTTCGTAATATGTGGTGCATATGGTTGCTGTGTCTTTTGCAACTGAACGTCTTGAATTAATCTTCCATTATTTTCTTTACATTTCTCACAATGTTTTAAAAATCTTCTTTGGTTTTTCCTTTCTGGATCATCACGGATAGAATAAACTTCTTCTTTGCAAAAGGGGCAAACTTTATATCCTGTGAGTGCTTCAACGTCTGTTATTCTGTCAGCGTGAAGTTTTCCACATGGACTCTGTGTTAATAAAATATTTACTGTTTCAAATTCTGGATCTATCATTATTGATTCCACTAATGGAAAGTCTACCTTATTTATGTCCACGTCTTCTGGTTGAGGATCACAATAATAGAAATCAATATTAACATTTAACATTCTCGCTAATCTCTCACTTTCTGATGAAATGTCAAACCCTTCATATGCATCTATTGCTTCATTTAAATAGCTTCTACGAGTTTTAGGATTAGCACCATCAGGAATGTTATAGAAGCGTTTAAATAACCTTCTACCTTCTGCTTAATTTGATTATCATTCATTTTAGCTGTTCCTTTTTGTTCATTTATGTAAGAATAAAAAATTAAAATAAATAAAAATAAAGTTTATTTTTTAAAGCCATAAAATGAATTAAGAACACATAAATTTTTATCATCTGCGACGTGACGAATACATTTTAATTTACTCAAGAATGCGTACCCTGATACATTAAATCTAATTCCTGTCTTATTTAATTTCACAACTTTGAAAAGGAATGTATGAATAGCTATAAAATGATGAGATTGATGTTTTATGGGTTGCTTCCATTTTTTCTGAAATAAATGAATAAATATAATGTTTATAAGTTTTCATATCTTTTATGTTCTTAATAACGAATGGTATAGACCTTTCCACTTCGTCTTCCTTCGGTGCTGTTCTTTCATATGAAACATTATTGGTATCTTCAATAATGAAACCACAATCACATAAAATTTTATAGGTTCCAATTGTTTCTTTTGATATTTTATCTAACAAATCAAAAACTTTATCAACACCTGTACATTTATTTAAATAATAATTTGTGTAAATATCATGGTCTTCTTTCTTAATCGTATTTGTTGCATATGTTACATTTTTCAGTGCTTTTTTGAATTTTCAGAATCAAGAGGAGGTGAAAGTAATATACATGGATAATCTCCATCGTCAATAAATTGTAACTTATGTTTATGAATAAATTTTGTGCCTTCTTCTGAAAGTGTTTCGTCAATATCACCATCTAATAAATTTTAGTAGATTCCAAAAAGTAATTTTTATATCTTTCCTCATGTGATTTTTGAACTTCTGATTCTGAAGCTGGGATATTCATTAAACCCTCTACTTCATTCTCAGCATTTCTCAATTCCTTAATTTTTTCATCTATTTCATTTCTTAATTGTTCCAATTTCTCAATCTCATCGTTATAATATTCATCTTGTTTAATTTTTTCTTCAAAATATTCAGGGGTGTTTCAAGGCTCTCTGAGCCCAGGTCCTCTGGACCATAAAGAGGAATATTCTCCTGTTTTTCAACTTTTTTGGGATATAAATATCTCATTATAGCCTTTTTAGTAATTGGTCCGTTATATTTAAATTCATTCAACAATCTGGAAAACTCTTTCACATTCTGCATATATGTTGGATAAGAACCGTCTCCAAAATTTTCTAAAATATTTTCTAATTCTGAATTAGTGAACTTTAAAGATTTCAATGAATTAGTTGTTATACTCATTTATCATTAAATAAAAAATAAAAAAAATAAATTTAACTTAGTTTTAATTTTACGTAAGAAGTCAATTTTTTAAATCTTGATTTATTCAAAAACGTAAGAATAAAAACCGTAAGAATCATACATTTTTTTTACTTCATATGTTAAAAATAATGATACAAAATCGTTCAATATTGTATGAATTCTTACGATTCTGAAAATTTTTAAATCTTGATTTATTCAAAAACGTAAGAATAAAAACTGTAAGAATCTTACATTTTTTACTTCATATGTTAAAAATAATGATACAAAATCGTTCAATATTGTATGAATTCTTACGTTTACAAAAAAAGTCACAAAGCCCGTCAACATATACTACTAAGACATCTTAGAAAAAAAAATTGTAATTTGACTATTTCAATATCATAAACACATTTCTATTGTTATAAAAGTCTTAAGTGCTTGTGATCAGACAAATCTGTTTTTCAATAAGACATCTTAGAAAAAAAATTGTAATTTGACTATTTCAATATCATAAACACATTTCTATTGTTATAAAAGTCTTAAGTGCTTGTGATCAGACAAATCTGTTTTTCAATAAGACATCTTAGAAAAAAAAATTGTAATTTGACTATTTCAATATCATAAACACATTTCTATTGTTATAAAAGTCTTAAGTGCTTGTGATCAGACAAATCTGTTTTTCAATAAGACATCTTAGAAAAAAAATTGTAATTTGACTATTTCAATATCATAAACACATTTCTATTGTTATAAAAGTCTTAAGTGCTTGTGATCAGACAAATCTGTTTTTCAATAAGACATCTTAGAAAAAAAATTGTAATTTGACTATTTCAATATCATAAACACATTTCTATTGTTATAAAAGTCTTAAGTGCTTGTGATCAGACAAATCTGTTTTTCAATAAGACATCTTAGAAAAAAAAATTGTAATTTGACTATTTCAATATCATAAACACATTTCTATTGTTATAAAAGTCTTAAGTGCTTGTGATCAGACAAATCTGTTTTTCAATAAGACATTCTGATTCAAAACTTTAAATTATATCTCTACCTTATATCAATATCTCTTTTACATATAATATTAAAGCAAACAATGCCTTCCCTACTTAATTTTACTATTTTATTTTCAATTAATTTCATATTCTTTTATCTTTCACCTTTCTCAATATTTCTAAACGCAACTTCACAGTACATTACATTTAACCACCACTTTCTTTTTATCATAAATTTATTTTTTTAATCTTTATCTTTTTTATTTCTTTAT